CACCGGCCCCGGGAGGACCCCACGGCAGGAGCAGGGGACAGCAGGGACGAGGGACCACAGGGCTGGGCAGCAGAGCCCTGTCTCATCTTGGGGCCGGGAAAAGCCAATGTTCCTTCCTAAGGCCAAGCCTTCGTCGGGTTTTTTGGGTCAGGCATGGTGAATGCAGACGTGAAGACACAGAGAAAGGCCAGGGAAGGGCACGAGGAAGAGGAGGAAAGCGGTGAAGGCAACCCACAGGCCAGGTGCCATCGTCGCGTGGAAGCAGCCTTCCACTGCCGGACACAGGACAACATCTCCATTGAGCGCAGAGGGCGCCAGGAGCTGGGGCTTTACTACATTGTAAGCACCCAGCCTGCCACCCTTTCCTGCAGGGGCAGCCCTGCAGGGGTACCTGCCCTGGCCCAAGGGCCCGTTCTCTAACCCAAACCTTTCCCTATCCCCAGCCGGAGAGGGAAGGGATGTTCCACCGTGGCCCAGGGCTGAACCTGACCAGTGGGCAGTACACAGCCCCCGTGGCGGGGTACTACACCTTTGCTGCCACACTGCGCATCGGTGAGCATCCCCCCCGATACCCCCTCCCAAAGGCCCCCATCAGGGAGGTCCAGGATGGTTCTCACCCTACCCTCTGTCCCAGCACGCAGAGAGCAGCGAAGGAAGGGGGAGCTGTACAGGCGGAATTGTCTGCGGGTTCTGATCTGCGTGGAGTCCCGCTGCCAGCACAACAGGTACAGCAGGGCAGGAGGGGAGAGGGACCTTGGGCCAGCAAGGGAGGAAAGAGTCCACTGTCCCCAGGGGAAGGAGGGACATGTTCTCCCCAGCACCACCCCCTGCCTCTTCTGCAGCAATTTGGAGACAGTGTCCCGGCTGGAGAGTGGCGGTGACCTTTTCACCATCTCCGTCACTGGAGTCCTTTACCTACAGGTTAGTGGTGCCGGCTCCGCTGGGGACTGTGCCGGGCAGGATGGTGCCTTCTGTGGTCCCAGCTCCAGGGCTGGGCACTGAGTCTGCTTCTCAGCCCAGCTCCAAGCCCAAAGGACATGCAGGGACCGTAAGTGGCTGCTGGGACACTCCAGCACATAGCACAGCTGGGCTGCCCTACCAGCCCCTCTGTCACCCCTTTTCCCAGTAGGAAGTGCGGTAAGCAGGCCCTCCAGTGCCCAGCCGCTGTGCGCAGGGCAGAGCTCTCTCCTTTGCTCTGTCAGGCTGTGCCCAGCACCCAGAGGCAGTGTCCCAGCCCTGTTAAACCCTCTCTCCCTCCAGGCTGGGCAGTATGCCTCCGTTTTCGTGGACAACGCTGCAGGCTCTTCCCTCACTGTTAAAAGTGGCTCTGATTTCAGCGCTGTCCTGCTGGGGGTGTGAGAAGGTGCTGGGCACCAGGCAGGGAGCTGAATCCGTGGCAGAATCAGCTGTACCCTTCCCCCTGCCAGCCCGCCGTCACACCTCCCCTGCTGTCGCACCAAGCCCAGAGAAGACCTCTCGCTCCAGCAGGAGCTGCAGGCTGGTCTGATGCTACTCGTGCTGCGGAACCATCTGAAGCTGGACAAAAGATCAGGGAGGAAAGGTTGATGATGACGATGATGTTAATAATAATAAAGAAGCCTGGGAAGGAGCTGGAGGAGTTCACTTTTATCTAAATGCAAGGGGTGGAAGTTTGCCTTGGAAAAGGCTGCTGACAACGGTAGCAGCTGGCTGCTTTCTCTGTGGGGCTCAGCTCCCACCGTGCCAGGCACCGGCAACCAGGATGAAGCCCCACACCTCCATTTTCGCTCTCAGCAGATTTCCTTGCCCAGCTTATTGGCAGCCTAAACCAGATTATTCCTGTCGCTTTAGCTTCCCTGCAATCTATCAGCGGTGAATGTTTGCTGGCAGAAGCAAACGTCCCTTGCGGCTAATCTTCAAAGCAGAGCAGTGTCCTGATAACGCTGCGCATTCAATTAAAGCAAATTCCTGTCTTGTGGCTCTCGGCGCCAGGCGCTCCCTGCCCATGGCACGGGGCCCAGGCCATGGGCAGCACAGATATGCTCCTTGCTTCAGCTCTGATAGCCGTCTGAGCCCAGGAAGGGCGCAGGGCTACGTGCTTGAGCATGGGCTGCAAGAGAGGTAGCCAGCCAGGCTGGGCGTGGGGCAAGGGAGCCACACGTTTTTATTTCTTAGTAGCATGTAACACTGGGCAAGCTGTGTCAGCAACCCTGGGAGATAGTCCAAACTGCACCCACTCCCACCTTCCTCGAGGCATCCACGCACGTAGGCAGGGGGGAGGCTGCCTCCTCATGCTGCACCTTGCTCGCGAGGGCTTTCCTGGCCTTCTCCACAGGTTGCATCTCCTCCAGGAGCCTGGTGAACTAGCTCTTCGCAGGTGGATCTGGGGAGGGGGGAGCTCTGGCTGTGCAGTTTTAACACTGACTTCTTCCCCAAGGCAAAGAGAACTTGTCTCCAAAAGAAAAGATGTGCTTTTGCCCCCCAGCTGAAGGGGCGAGCAGGAGCATCCTGGCAGAGATGAGGCCTCCGCAGCACCTTGCCTAAGCCCAGGAGCTCAGCCCTGGCTGCACCTCCCAGTTACCAAGTGCAACGGTGAGCAAGGCAGCCTTTCTCAGATCAGCCACCTTCCCTCCCAGCCAAACACACCCAAGAAGAGACAAAAGGACTCACTGTTGGAGAGCCGGGGGCTTGCCAAGCTAGTATGCGAGCCAGATACAAAGAACCCAGTGCACTTGAACACAAAATTGAAACAGTTGACTAAGTCAGAGCTACTGGGGGGGCTAATGTAGGTGTTGGGAGGGGGCTAGAAGCTCAGCCCCAAGGGAGTGGGGCTGGATATACAGCGTTTCTGCATGGGCCACCCTGGGGGGGTGGTCTCAGAGCTCCCCACAGCAGCAGGAAGCTGCCAAGCAATGATGCAGGGAGAGTTTATTTTCAGGAAACCTCTGGCAGACCCCACCCCACCAGGAAATACAAGCAGTTTTTTTTGACTTCCACTAAACTGGGGGTTGAAGCTGCCTTTCTAACCGGCTGGCTACTCACAAGCATGGTGAAACCTGCTCCACAGTTCCTCCTTTTCCCCCAAAAATAGATGATGCAATCCATTTTATGGAAACTTATGAACTGTACCGTAACACAGGTACTATGTTCCTAGTTGGAATTGTGCTTTCTGTACTCTTTCTAAAGGGAAGAAGAGTTGTAAGAGAAGGGATGGGGAGAGAAGGCAGTCAGAGAAGGACAAGCTGGTACTTCTCTCACCAGCACTTGTGCTGGAATTAAGAGGGGCCTCCTGAAAGGGAGCACCAGAGAGATGGGCGCTTGGCTCAGCTCCGGCAGCCACAGCACACAGCTCTCTCCCCAACACAAGAGCTGTGAAACGCAGGGAGGTGAAAAGGGAGGGCAGAGTTGCCCTTCTGAGACAGGCCATCATCCGGGTCTCTTTTGTTACTCCACCGTGGGCTCTCCAAATTTGGCTTTCAAGAGCAGAAGCAGCAGAGTGTGTTGCCAACACGGGCAATTCCCTCTCGCCTCATCCTGCAGTGCAACCTTACATCAGAGTACGCAGGAACAGCTGGGAGCAAAATGAGCTGGCAGAGGCAAGTGCTACCCAAAATATGTGCCAGCGGCCCATCTCCTTCCTCAGTGCTCTGCAGAAGATGCGAAGAATTAGAGCGAGCTGGGCCAAATTAGCCTAATCCTTAGCATAAACCCAGGAACTTTAACTGACTTCTGCTGTAGCAGAAATAGACGAAAAACGGTCAAGCCACCTGTCCCAAACAAGATGACAGCTTTTGTGTGCTCAAGAAAAACAGATAGCCCAGGATGCAGGACCATCTCCCCAGAGCTCCAGGGAACACAGGAAGCAGAAGAGAGCCTGGGAAGCCTCAACAACCCTGCACAGGACTACGCATGCAGGCATGCACCACTGCACCAACCTGCCCAACCTCTCTCCAGGACTGCACTATTTCTCCTGCAGTGTAAGGAAGTTGCGCAAGAAATCACTTTGCAGACCCACTGGCTCATCTCCCTCACTGCACCCTCTCACCCACAGGACTGTAAAGTTGTGTAATCTGGAATTTAAGTGCTTTGGTAGCCCCATCTGTTTAGCTTTCACACCGTCATTTGGTCTTAAGCCAAATTTTCCTCTCGAAAACAGCACACCGACTCTGCAGCAACAGCTGGTAGAGGAATGGGGACAGGATGAGACACCAGACACTTAATAGCAACAAATACCTAAAACCCAAGATGCCTGGTCCTCAGATAGCACACAGACAAGCACACAGCCTTGCCCTTATCTCAGTGGCCTGGCAGGGCCATTTGGTGAAAACACTTTCCCAATAAACATCAGAAGCAAACTCTAGCTGCTTTTGCCATATGAAATATTTTGACTCTTTACAACTACCTGAAAGGAGGTTGTAGCGAACTGGGAGTTGGTCTCTTCTCCCAAGGAACAGGCGATAGGACAAGAGGAAATGGCCTCAAGTTGCGCCAGGGTGGTTTAGGATGGATAATAGGAAAAATTTCTTCACCAAAAGGGTTGTCAAGCATTGGAACAGGCTGTCCAGGGAAGTGGTGGAGTCGCGATCCCTGGAGCTATTTAAAAGATGGTGGTGGTAAGGGACATGGTTTAGTGGTGGTTTGGGCAGTGTTAGGTTAATGGTTGGACTTGATGATCTTAAAGGTCCCTTCAACCTAGACAATTCTATGATTCTAAAAACTGGGATAAAACCCCCATGTTTTCCACGAGGAGAGGGAAGGTACAAACACCACTTGCAGAGCAGCAGTGTATCACACAGCTGCATGCAACCTCACAGCCCAGCTTCAGAACCAAAAGATTTCCTTCTAAGAGGAAATCTTAGCACTAAGAGGACAGTTCACGCTGCATCCCAAGCTGGTGGCCTGAGGTATTGCACAGTCCGTGTAGTATAGCCTGGCCAGGAGCTCCAGCTGAAGCCTAAGAGCTCGGGACTCTCCCAGGGCCTCATACAAAGCTCAAAGAAACGAACAGCAGAACTGCACTGTTTGGAACAGCTGGCAGAGTTCATGCCCACAGCTGCCTGCTCTTGCTAGCACCTCTGCCACATGGATTTATTTGACGTTCACGGGGTGTGGACAGGACAAGAGATTTCTGCGTAGGCTGATCCACTGTGGCAGCCCCTTAGAAAACAGTGCTAGCCAAGTGAGCTAAAACCATTAGAAAAACCCCCAAAACTTTATTTACACTGAAGAGCATCCAGCAGGAGCCTCCCTCCCCCAGCCACACATGCACACACACTGACTTCTCCCTTCCCTTACATCTGCTGCAAGCTGGGGATCCTGCTGCTGCACCTCAACTCTCAGTGCTCTATCCGGACCACCATGACCGTGACGTTGTCTGCCGACCCTCGCTGTACTGCCTTGTTGGCCAGTCTGTTACACGCAGCTTCATATCGAGCGTCTGCTTCTAGCTTCCCCTCTCTCATCTGGATGTTCTTATCCTGTTGGGATGAGGAAAGATGATGCTGATTGCTCCCAGCAAAGCACATAGGTGCAAGTAATTTCCAAGCACGGGGAACAAAACAAGTAAGGACAACCTCAGGTATAAGGGAGGATACCTTGGCAAAAGTACATTTCTGCAAGTCAGTCATTCCATTTCATGCCCCCTGCACTGACAAACCCAGCCCCCAGCCATCTTCTCCTCACCTCCAGGGAGGACACAATGAAGTTCACAGCTTCTTCTGGTGTAAAGACTTTAAAGAGGCCATCACAGGCTATCAGAATGAACCTGGAAATTAAGCAGAGACAGGTTCCAAGGCTGAATCTTTGGCTCCCCAGCTATAGCAAAATCCCTCCAAGCTATTTTATGAGTACCCACACTCCAATCCAAAGGGAAGATGCCATAAAGCTCATCTGAAAATCCCTCGGAACCACCAGAAGTACTCTGGTGCTCCAGAACCTACCATTCATGGAGCTGAGGCCATCCAAAGTACAGGCCAAAACAATGTAAGCCAGGCAAACAATGTAAGACCTAGATCAGGACATCCTGGCAGTCCTACTGACACTGCACCGTTAGGCGAGACCATATACCATGCTGTGCTGGAAAGCTCCATTATTTCTCTAGTAACTGCGTCTTTCCTTTGAGTCCTTTTTATTCACATATGAATGTAGCTAATGCAAGGACATAGAGAAACACAGCCAGCTTAATACCTTATGTGCGTCCCTTTAAATCCTTACATTTCCACACTCCTGAGGTAAGCAATAACTTAAATAGAAATACTTAAAGAAAAGGGAGCAGCTTAACCCAGCGATATAGGCATTACTATGATTGGAAAACCCTGCCACGAGGTATTGCCGCAGACTGCAGGTGGTTGAGGGGATACAAAGCCCAAGGCAAGAAGAGC